ACTCATCACAAAAAACAACACCAATCGCAAACCATTTTTTCAAGAGGGACGGGATAAAAAGAAAAACAACAAGGATCATAATAACAACAAAGAGGCACCCAAGCGACAAGAACAGCATTACGAGGGCAGAGAGGAGCATGAATGATCCCCAGAAAAACTTTCAATGTTTCTTTTTTTCACATTTCAAATCGCCACATCCCCATATACTATTGTAATTAGGATTGTTAAAGGCACATTTTGGAGGCATCGTTACTACTTTTTTTTTAGAGTGGAATTAGTGCTATCCCTGAAGCTGCCGCAAAACTGAATTTCGAAAATAAAATCTTGTGAGGGACAGATAAAAAATATATAAACAGTGAGGGCCAAAGTCGGTGGTGGAAGACGGCGATGCCATTTCGTGGACAGACCACAGAGATGCGGGGGGAAAACAAGTAATGGTAACCCACCAAGGATGAGAAGCAGGCAGCCCCGCTGGAACACCTTTTGTCCGCCGTTGCAGCTCCGAAACCGACGAAAAAAAAAACGTGCTACAAACTTTCCGAAAATAAAAATGATACGACAGTTCATTAAAAGCAATCAAAAAAAGGTTCCAAACAAACAAAAACGGAAACAGAAACACACAGTAAATTGCGACAAACCGGAATCTTTGCTCGCCGCCCTTCGGCAGCACCGCTCGAGACCGGGCCCGGCGCAATGAGCACGAAGGGCCCCTAAACCCGCCGAGCGGCGAATCAGGGCTCTCAGACGGTTTACAAAGAAGGAAGACGGGGACAACCACAAAGACGGCGACTTCCGCCAGACGCGCCGCAACGCCGTCGCCAGCGCCGGCGAGGTTGTTCGTGTCTTTTGTTTATTTTGTGTCCGGTCCCTGCAGACGCGGCCTGCTGCCGTTGCTGATTCTGCCATTGCCACTGCGCGGCCGGGGGCCGCGGAAGGGACAGTAAGGACGGGTTTTTGTGAGCACCGCCTTCAGATTTACATGTTTTTCGTCATGAACGCGTTCCCCCCGCCACATCTCTTCAAAATCACACGACTGTTT